CTGACACTGTCTGACTTGAGGCCACTGCCATTGCTCACACAAATAATACTGGTTTTCTAACTAGTCATCGTACTCCTCCAGTCTTGCTCCTCTCTAATTCTTTCTCCAATTTGTAGCCAGCATGAATTTCCTTCTAGAATGAAAATTGTATCGTGTTACTCCCTTGCTTTAAAACTTTCAGTGGCCCCTGATTGCCATCAAAATAAAGTAAAATTCCTCCCCAAGGTACCAGGCACCCTTCGGCGTGTGCTCCCCTGGACCCACAATATCAGTTCTCTCACCCCTTTGCTCACCAGTATTGGCAGTCTATTCATCTGACATGTCCCCCACATCGTGTGTTCTCTCTCACTTCCCTCCTCTGCACATTCTCCTCCTGCAGCTTTCTTGGGACATTGTCTCTGCCCACTGTCCACATCCAACTCTGTTCGAACTTTTTCGTCTGCTCCCCTGCCCACTCTGCCAACCCTAACTGTAGCCCTTCCCAGTGTTGCCATGTTCTTTCTCCCACTGGTCTGTATACTCCTTGAAAGTCAAGCCAGACTTGTACACACCTGTATTCCCAGTGCCTGAACCTTCCTTACTACATAGCAGGTATTAATGGGTATTTGTTGAATGAATGTAAGATTTAGAGTGACTGGTTGGTTAAAAGAGGTACCTGCTTTTTAATATAGGCATGGAGTCAGAGTTTAACATTTTGTAGAACTTTCTTCTCCTTTCATGCTTTGTTATGGACTGAATATTTGTGTCTCCCCAAAACGCATATGGTGAAATTCTATTACCCAAAGTGATGGTACTAGAAGGTGAGATCTTGGGAGTTAACTAGGATCAGATGAGGTCATCAGGATGGAGCCCTAATAAATGGAATTAGTGCCCTTATAAGTCACAAGAGAGCTTCCTTCCACTATGCTTTCTGCCACAATGAGAAGTCAGCAGTCTGCAACCCAGAAGAGGGCTCTTGCCAGAACTTGACCATTCTGGCACTCTGATCTCAGACTTCCAGGCCCAAGACCTGGGGCAAGTAAGTTTCTGTTGTTTATAAGCCTGTGGTGCTTTGTTATAGCAGCCTGGGCATTATCACATCAGGCCATAGAATAATACATAACCTTTTTTTTTTACTCTATTTATACTTTTATTTTTTAAATTGCATACTAATTTTTTTTGGTATCATTAATGTACAATTACATGAGCAATATTATGGTTGCTAGACTCCCCCCATTATCAAGTCCCCACCACATACCCCATCATAGAGACTGTCCATCAGAGTAGTAAGATGCTATAGAATCACTACTTGTCTCCTCTGTGTTATACTGCTTTCCCCATGGCTCCCCCACTACATTATGTGTGCTAATCGTAATGCCCTTTTTTTCCTCCCTATCCCTCCCTTCCCACCCATCCTCCCCAGTCCCTTTCCCTTTGGTAACTGTTAGTCCATTCTTGGGTTCTGTGAGTTTGCTGCTGTTTTGTTCCTTCATTTTTTCTTTGTTCTTGATACTTATCTTTCTTCACCTGGCTTATTTCACTGAGCATAATACCCTCTAGCTCTGTCCATGTTGTTGCAAATGGTAGGATTTGTTTTCTTCTTATTGCTGAGTAACATTCCATTGGGTATATGTACCACATCTTCTTTATCCATTCATCTACTGATGGACACTTAGGTTGCTTCCATTTCTTGGCTATTGTAAATAGCGCTGCGATAAACATAGGGGTGCATGTGTCTTTCTGAATATGGGCTCCTGCATTCTTAGGGTAAATTGCCAGGAGTGGAATTCCTGGGTCAAATGGTATTTCTATTTTTAGTTTTTTGAGCAACCTCCATACTGCTTTCTGCAAAGGTTGAACTAATTTACATTCCCACTAGCAGTGTAGGAGAGTTCCCCTTTCTCCACATCCTCACCAACATTTGTTGTTTGTCTTTTGGATGTGGCCATCCTAACTGGTGTGGTTTTAATTTGCATTTCCCTGATGATTAGCAATGTAGAGCATCTCTTCATCTGCCTGTTGGCCATTTGAATTTCTTCTTACATAACCTCTTTTTATAAAACAAGCCTTACACTTGTTGATAAGACTGACTAAATTTCTGTTATCACAAAGCAAACCAAAGCACTATTGATTATAATCCCTTTTTTTTGCCAACTGTAACTTTCAAAATGCTCCTAAGGCCTAAAAGAATGAAAAACACCTTCTCCCATCAGTGCCCAGATGGACCCTTAACTGTGCGGCTGACTCGGCTACAGGCAGCCTGGCTTGGACGGGAAAACACGTCAGCCCCTTTCACAAGTGTGATAATTTGTGACTGAGTAGGGAGAGTCTGCTCTCTGAACCACACGCCCCCTGATGCAGGCAGCCTTAGGAAAGATGAATGGCATTATAAGACAGACATCTGAATGTTTCATATTAAATTAGTCCCACTGAGGACCTAGAATTCTCATTCCATAAATCAGAAATTAAAGTAAACTCACTCCCAGATTAGACTTCCATGACTTTGGCCTGTGGTGTCATAGATAATCTGAGAATAGTTAAACATTTGTCTGAAATAGTAATAATTTTTCAGCATATTTACTCAGTGGCAGAGAGGTGACCCAGCCTGATCCCTGTTTCCAGAAACAGCATGTAAATGGGATCTAGGCAGTTTAGGAGTTCTCCAAACAAGAGACACTGCTCCTTAACCCTTCTGTCTACTCTGAAATTGCCATGGGCTCCTTTAGGAGCTGTTAGGTGCTGGAGGCCGAGAGGAGCAAATTTCAGCTGCTCCGGTGAGTAACAGCACCGAGGGCCACCCCCACTTAACTGAAGAGCAGTTGCAGCCCATTCTGAAACCCACCTTTACCTTGCCTTGGTCTAAGCATCCTCCGTTAGGGAGGCCCTTGACTCTACCAAAGCCACATTTCTCTTCAATGGCAAAGGTGTATTTTAAGAATATTTTACATATCCTTGAATCTATTCTAGTTCTTCCATTTCTGGGCTGACATTGTAATGACTGGGGACACGGTAGAATGGAAGGAACATTAGACTGTGGTTCACAGGACCAACATGATGCTAACTGGCTGGGGGCTCATCTGAGCTGTGGCTACCTCTTCTTTAAAATAAGGAAAGAGGACTCTTTCATCTCTAAAGTCCCACCCAGCTTTAAAAGTGTGATTCTGATTCAGTAGTGACACATGATTGGGCCCCAAGAGTTGTAACTGTCAGAATTCTAGCCTCTCTCTGTGTTTGATAGGTAGGGCCTTTCTGCAGGTGGTCACTAGGACCTGCACCCAGATCATCTTTACCCACAGAAGCCCATTCCAGATTTACCAGAGCCACAGAGGTGGACCACAGCACAGCTTAGTGCTGGCTAAGGACTGGAGGCAGGTCCTCCCTGGGAAAGATCTCTGGACTTGGTGCCAAAGGCCTGAATTCCTGGGCAAGTCCCTGGTGTAAGACTCAAATAAGATCATAACCATGGAAGGGGAAATCTCTGGACTTGGTGCCAAAGGCCTGAATTCCTGGGCAAGTCCCTGGTGTAAGACTCAAATAAGATCATAACCATGGAAGGGGAAGGGCATCAGTGTTGTTTGAGGGTCCACACTCCCAGGCACCATGCTGGGCTTTTACAATGTTGTCTGTTTCATTCCTTATGATCACCTTCAGGAGTAGATATTTTTTTCTACTTCTGCTTCTACATTTTACAAATGGGGACACTGAGCTTCTGAGAAGTGAAATATCTTGCTGATAAGGGGCAGAGCTGGGATTTGAACCCAGATCTACATAACCTCAAAGCCTGTAGGAATTTCAGGTATGGTTATTGGTAATTCTAGAGCTGAGTTTACTGCTGAGTTTACTGCATGCCTTTGAAGAATAACTTTATGGTTTAGTCACTGCCTGTTTGGAAGAGATCCCCGGTGATAGCCAGGTCAGGCAGTGAGCTACCCAAGATAGGAGGGACACTGCCATGTGCATAGGAGTGGCCCTCACGAGCTTATTGGGATATAGGCAAGAATCAGGGTTATCAATTCTTTACCTCAATGTCTGTATTCATCCATGTATTGTTTGCTAGGACTGCTATAACAAAGTAGCACAAAGTCCAGGGTCAAGGTGCCAGCATAGCTGGTTCCCTCAGAATGGTGTGAGAAGTGTCTGTTCTATGCCTCTTGCCTAGCTGATGCTGGTTCACAGATAATATTTGGCATTCCTTATCTTGAAGAATCATCACCCCGATCTCTGCCTTCATCATCACATGACATTCTCCCTGTGTGTGTGTCTCCAAATTTCCCTTTGTGTAAGGACACCAATTACATTGGTTTAGGGGCCCACCCTATCCCTATATGGCCTTATTTTAGTAACTCATTTAATCTGCAACAACCCTATTTCCAGATAAGATCACATTCTGAGATGCGGAGGTTCAGACTTCTGCATGTGAAATGTAGGGGGTGGTGAAGGGGTGGCACAATTCAACCCCAAACAATTGGTCACAAAAGTCTCAACCGTCACCATACAAGTACTTCATCTCTACCATTAAAGATCACAGCATTCTTTCTTGATGACATGTCTCTCTCCCTTTTATGTCTTTCTTCTTTCTTACTAACACTGAAGTCTGATATTAATGGAAAAACCATTTAAAAAAAAACTATTATCCTATGAGGTAAAGTGAATGCACTCAACTGTAAAAGGAAGACTTATTGATCAATTTCAGTTACCCCTTGCTTGTCTGACACTTTGCAGCTAAGGAATGTGTTTTTATTGCCTGGCCAGATAGTTCAGAATTCCGGTCAGTCTTAGTAAAGACCCCTTTTATAATGTTGATAAAATTTTATCACAGAGCTATGAAAACAAAACTAGGTTTCATAACTCACATCAGGCCTTGAAAGGAATGCCTATAAGTTTTACAAACCTTATCAAGTTTTAATGCATCTATTCTGATAAATATTTTTAAAATAGCAACTTCTACTGAACTTCATATATAGGTATGTGTGTATGTAAAAATGTATCTGTGTGTATGTATTTTTTTCTCTATCTTACAGGAAAGAAAACTATCTTCACCTGCTTGTAAACAGAAGACTTTGACCAAAAGCCCAATTATTTAGATTGCTGAAGACTCTGAATTCAGGGAAATTCACTTCTACAGAAGAAATCTGTGTGGTTTATTTAAAAATTTATTCCTAAAATTTATACTTCAAAATAACTGGATTTTTCATGAGCAGATTTTGAAGAGTTACCAACACTGATAAGTCAACAACAAATTATCTGTAAATTCATAAGGCATATCATAACCAAGAGCAATGTTAACTACAGACATTTTGTATTTCAGTGAAATCCATATACATACTCTAGTTTTTCCCATCTATAGAGTGGTCTATTAGGAAAAAATTGCATAGATACTGAGCATATGTTTCATCTCCCCAACTAGATGCTGAGTGCCTAGAGGGCAGAGACCCTCATTTATATTTACTTGGGACAGAGCTCTGCCCTCAAGGACTCAGGGATAATATCCAGCAACCCACTGCCAGAGCCACCTGATAGGAAGATGAGGTTCAGCCGTCTTCCACTCTTGTGCTGGACCACAGACCAAAATGACAACAGTACAATGGAAATAGAGGACCTGCTTTACAAAATTTCATTTCAGTCAGCTGTTTGGGGGCTGCAGTCCTCAGACAGATTACATGGAGTTATAGTCGGGTAGTCTTTGCTGCCTTTCAGAGGCAAGAAGTACTTCTCAAAATCATACAGATAAAATAAATGGCATGGTGTATATTCCTGAAATATATCTTTGATGATAATAAATTTTGGTTTCAAATTCAAGAAACATCCAAAAATTATATTTATAAATGAATTGACAACATTCAAAACCTCAATACTCTATTGTAAGGGAGTCTGTAAACCATTCGGATTCACATACTATTTGTGAATCATTTGAAAAGCTTACAAAATGCAGATAGGCAAAGTGTTTTTTATACTGTTGCATGAGGTTCACAGACCTACCTGAAAAACATGAAATTCCAAGTAAAGCACTCCTGACATAAGATATTTCTGATTTTTATAATCTTTATGGTTTGGGGGACATAGGATCCATACCTCCCAATGGAAGATTTCAAAGTAGACATCAGATGAAGCAGATACTAAGTTTCACTGTGATAATATGTTATACTGTTATAATCAAAAACAATAAACCATGATGATTTTGTATCATCTCTGGGTGTTATTTTTGCATCTATGAATGTTAAGTGGGAAAAGAGAAGGAAATATAAACTTCTTCAAACAGCATTGTTAATATTGGGCATTCCTTGGAGAAAATACTTATTACCTGGAACAAAAAGCTAATTAAGTCGACATTTCTTACAATCACAAGGCCATTTTACTTGCTGCTCTTATAGGCAGAAGGGAATACAGGCTGTTTCCCTTTTGCCTGTCAGAAGAATAATAGGAAACCCTGACAGGCCTGGCAGTTTTCAAGCTGCACTTTGATGGAAGAGTGACCACAGATGTCTGAAGTTTGCCTGGAAATCACTGCTACCCGTGGAAAAACAGTATCTTGGATTGGAACCCCCAGCTATTTCCACTGCTGTACAGTCAGTCCACTTATCCCTTCAATAAGATGGTGAGGCTTCCAGACAACTTTCTGATTTTGAATTCTAAGTCATGAAGCAACTGTACTTGAATTAATTTAGTCAAACCTTACTACTGAGGTCACAGTCAGAAATGATGTTGAAATGCCTTTAGCTCCCTTTAAGATATTGTTTAGAAATCTTAAAACCGTTAAGTTTTTATGTGAAAAAATATATTGGATTTATGATTTAATGTCACTCTCCTTGCCTAGAGTTCTCAGATTAGAAAAAGACAGTAAACTAGGAGCCACAGATGCCCTCCACAGCTGCTCTGTCTATTCTTTGCTTTGTTCCTGGAGCCCAGTACAGTGCCTCATTAAACCTTTGTCAAATACTAAATGAGAAGCTGAGTTTCAACCCTGGCTGTGCTTCTTAGTACCCATGGGACATACCTATATTCTCACCTGTGAAATAAGAAAAATGGTATTCCTTTCTACCCCAAAATTGGTTTTAGCATCAGTTGAGATAAAGCATGGACAAGCATTTTTCCTTCTTTTCCAAAGAAAGGAATGATTTTTAAAAGTAGGCATATGATCTCATGCAGATGTAAAAGAAGTAAGTATATTGTATTATCATAGAGAAAAAGAAAGAGACCAAAGACTTAGAATTCAAAACAAGGTATTTATTTTACAGAATTTTAATGCTGAAGTAAAGGAGGGGAATGTTCAGTTGCTTGAAGTGAAGGACCACCACACCTGAGGTCTTAATGCATCAAAATTATGAGCTTTCTTTCATTCATGCATACATCGTAAGACATCTCAGAGTGTCCTTGTGGCCAGGAATGGAAGAATTACGTAACACTCACATAAACTGGGGAGAAGGGACCTTTTGATCCTCAAAAGGGCAACAGAGGCAGATGCAGCAGTTGAATGTTAGCAAGAATGATTTTAAATGAGTGCTAACAAAATGTGTTTATAGGATTATAGTTTACTCAAGAGCTTGAGAAGCAAGGAATATCCTGAATGCAGAGGAAATTGGCATCATTTATTCATGTTTGTATATGTAATATATTTATAGAATTCCTGTGATACGCTGGCATTGTTCTGGGGCTGGGCCAATCAAGCTGAATGAAACAGAGTCTTATTTATGGTAGATCTTACTGGCTTACTGGAGGCCCACAGTCAATAAAAAAGAGAAGCAAGTAGGCACTAATAAGTTCTGTGACGGAAAGAACCCTGGGTAAAGTGACTGCAGAAATTAATATTCAGATGCACATAGTTGTCAAAAAACACTTGCTGAGTGGATAAATAAGCTAATGGTGATATAAAAATATCATTTTCAGAGGATTGTAACTGTAATTTGCTACTTTGGAAGCACTTGGTTACAGAGTTTGGGGAAGAGAGCAGTGGATTAGCGTTAGTAAATAAGGAATTATCTCTGCTATACTCATCAGGCTGTGTGACCTTGAGAAATTCACCTACCCTATCTAGATCTTGAATATAGACTGGCAAATATTATCTGATTCAGCAGAAGACTCCTAACTCTTAGATATGCTGTCTCTGAAAAAGGCAAAGTATAACAAGCTTTGAGATGCTGAGAGAAATGTTACTACGTTTATATTTATATCTCTCAGAGTTTATATTTATATCTCTCAGAGTCTCAGAAGGACGTCATCATCACTGCCACCACCTCTACCCTCCTCACTTTTGTTGATTGGAGGGGAAGTGCTGCCCAGTAGGTAAGAGGCAATGAATGTTAGCTAGGAAGCCACCCTCTATGTGTCAGGCACTGTATTAGTTCCTTATGTTCATTAACCTGCTTAGTCCTCACAAGTTATTAGCTTCATTTTGCAGATCTGGAAACTGAGGTACGGATGTTAAGTAACCTGCCTGAGGTTTCACATTTCAGAAGGGGCATAATGAAGCCTGATGCTAAAAGCATGGACACTAAACCCCTACAATTAACCATTATCTATTCATTCATTCAAGAAGTATTTGTTTATTGAGCATCTACTATGTGCTAAGCACTAGTTTGACCAAATTCAGTTTGGCAGGAAGCAAATTACCCTCCTTTGTGTCAAGAGAAAATAAAGTGCACAGAGGAGGGGAAAAAGGAGAAATGAATACACAGTATACCCTATTTGTTCCTTTGATGGAACTCAGAAGAAACAACGCATTTTTTCTGCTACCATTCTCTGAGCTTCTGGAATCTCTCTGCTCTCTGGTTGAACCTGGGCAAATACAAAACTTATATTTTCTCTGTTCTCAGAGTTTTCAGAAATCCCAAAGCATTTGGCTTAGATTAAATTCGTTGACCGAGGCTTTATAATTTGGCTTCAACACAGATGATCCCATCACCCGTCGCCTTATCTAACCTAACTGCTTATTACAGTAACAGAGTACACTAGTCAGGGGGAGAAGGTCACTCAGGTTTAGCAGCCACATGTACACAGCAGGGTGGTGTCCTTTCAGATCTAGAGAAGTAGATTCATAAAATCCAATCAGGAGCATGTGTGTGCATTTATATAAGCCTCTCCTTTTATAATTTGGCTTCAACACAGATGATCCCATCACCCGTCGCCTTATCTAACCTAACTGCTTATTACAGTAACAGAGTACACTAGTCAGGGGGAGAAGGTCACTCAGGTTTAGCAGCCACATGTACACAGCAGGGTGGTGTCCTTTCAGATCTAGAGAAGTAGATTCATAAAATCCAATCAGGAGCATGTGTGTGCATTTATATAAGCCTCTCCTTTTTTCCTTTATTTCTTTTTTTTTTTTTGCCTGAATCTAAATTATAGAGATTTTAATAGCTCCAGTAATTAGACAAGCATGCAGTCAACCCCATTATGTTCCTGTGTAATATCCCACTCCCCAGGGCCCACCTTCTCTGCTTGTGGGGCTCCCTGCATGGACCCCCTTCCGCCTTATTTTCTACCACAGGGAAGCAGTTTTTCTTTTCAAAGACCTTACTGTTCACATTGTTTTTGTTCCCTCAATCCCGAGGTTTGATTTGCTTTCTCAGGACTTTCACCATTGCATTGTCCCATTGTGTAAAAGCAGGTCTGGCTGCTCATTAGCATTCCCCACAGTGCCTAGCGCATGTGCTAGGTTGCACAGTGGATGCTGTACAGAGGAGAAGGCACTTAGCACAATGACAGGCACAGAGAGACACTTTAGAATTGTTTCCAACTGATTCTACTTTAAAAACTCTTCATGGTTCAATTATTGACCTTAAAGAAAGCAGAACAAAATACCTAGATTCACTATCTCAAATCATGAACTCTTATTTAAAAAACTACCTCTCTAGCTCCCTGACTGCCTCTCATTATTTTCTCTCTCTTGTGCTTTGCAACTTTCTATTACCCATAGTAATATTTCACTTCATTAGCATCGATAATCTCCCTACAGGTGCTGAGGGCTACAGCTTGAGATATATTGGACATCTTGGATTTTTCTCATTGTTGTTTCCTCTGGCACCATGCAAAAAATTCTTTTGGTTATTTGAAATTAAGGACAGGATGTGCTGTATTATTTAAATAATGCAGTTTTATCTAATCAAGAGATTGACTTTTTCCATATGCACACACATATTTTCCTAGCGGCTGTCAGAAAGTAGCTTTCATCATCTTTTGGTTTTTTTTTGTCCCATGAAGATATTCCCAAAGAAAACTGTCTGGGTTTTAGTATCTTGAGGTCACCTTTTCCTATTCAAGTCCCCCCACCTCCAAAATGAAAAATCTAAATTAGCTATCTTCCCTTCACAAGGATTTGAAAGGTGTCCCCTGAAAGCAATTCTAGAAGTCTGTGAAGTTGGCCTCAAAACTACCTAGAAAAGAGGTGTAAAATCAAATGTGTAAGTCACTCTTGAAATTGAGTTCATTGTAACTGGCAAACTGAGGCTCTGTGTTTTCCCTAGAGTGGTTATCAGACAGACAGAAACAGTGGTGTGGGCAGTGGTAGGAGACTTGAAAGTCAGAGATGTTTTCTAAGCCTCTAAAATCTTTTCTACAGAGACAGATAAAAGGATAATGAGCTGATGCTTTTTTAAAAGATTCTCACAATTTATAGCTCAAATCAATCTAGTTTTAAAATATGTGTGCTTTTTAGGCTGTAAGGACTACAAATGTTAAACTAAATATTTTGCTTAAACAAGTAAAGACAGAGGGGTTATATGAGCAAATTAGAATGCATGAAAGCTGCTTCTGTCCTGGTAGTTTCCTCTGGAAGAGAATGGCTAATTCATATGTGACATATTCTTGTCACTCCCTGGGAGAAAGGCTGCCCTGGGAGGCACCCAGCCATTCAGCATTTTCCTTCTGGTCAGGATTGATTCCAGATGTGGGAGGTAAATGCTAGAAAGGGTTTGGAAAATGGAGTGAAAATGAAAAATCCTGCAGGCCATTTGAGTGTTGATGACAGATGAGGTAGGTATTTTCAGGTAACAAATGAACTTGCTGGGAGCTTGGAGAGTGCCGAAGCCCAGTAGATATTTAACGGGCAGGAAAGACCCAGCTGAGATATCATGGCTGCTGCTGCGCACCAAGAGTAGAGGGAAATGTGGAGCCCTGATGGTAACATATAAATATCAAATCCAAGACATGGCTACTCTGTAAT